CTGTAACCATGGCATGTATGGCGATCAACCGGCTTCCTAGTGCTACAAGAGCCATCTGTGGACTCATTCGAGCCGTGGTGCTTACTACTACTACTACTACTACTACTACCACTACTACCACTACTACTGCTACTTCAGGAAGGTACAGAAAGCGAGAAACCACAGAGCCAGAATCAAAGAAGCCAGAAAGCCAAGAAACCACAAAGCCAAAGGCAAAGAAGCCAAAAATCCAAGAAGTCAAAAACCTAAGAAGCCAAAAAACCAAGCAGTCAACAGAAAGAAGGCAGAATTCAAGTAAGCGATTAAAACAATGAAAACGATGAACAAATTAATTCGGAAATTGTATATCATTGAGGAAATGATTTTAAAATGATGAACATCAAAAAAAATGATGAAATGATAGAAAATGATAGAAACTGATAGGAAAATGAAGAAATGCTAGGGAAATGATAGAAAAATGATGAAAAATGGCGGAAAAGCCAAAATTCGAACACGGTCCAGGCCAGGGCCACCAAAAAAGTCACCAAAATAGATCAAACAAGTCCCTAAAAAACAGGCCCTCCATTCTTGAGCATCCCCCTGCTTGCATTAGGTCACATGCCTTAGCATAGTTGTCCAGCCGCAAATTCTCAGATTGCCGGTTGCTGGGGCCAGAGCAAAAAAGTTTTTCGACCACGTTTGAGGAAAACTTCTGAATGCTCAATTGCATCATCCGGCCCTGCAAGCAAGTGGGCATAAAATGGCACACTGGTCTCGCGGCTGACAATGACTTTGGCCTCCAGCTTGTGCAGAACTGGCTGGCAGCAGCTCCCACCCCACTCCTGTCAGAATGTCGTGCAGCTTGCAGTAAGTTGCACTTGCAAAGGATCCTCCAGAGCATGCTGGATCGCATAGTTGCCATATGGACTCTGCACCAGATCCATTGCCTTGACATGGGCTAGACCACGGACCACATGAAGCGATAATCAGGAGCTGTTTCCTTGCGTAGGCTCTTAGGGGCGGGCATGGCGAGCTAGCTGCTTCAACAGCATGTCCTGGAGGCCACAAACCCAAAAAGCATCCAAACTGACATTACCAACCAAAAAAATGTCGGGAACATGCTCGAGCTTCGGCCTGGTGTTTTCCAGGTGCCTTCGCCTCTGCATACGAAAGATCAACGATTAACTCTTTTGACGGTTTCAGGGTAACATCCGTTGATCTGTGTGTCCACCTGACCTGTCACAACCGAGCCTGCGATATGCACTTCTTCAAGACACACAGCCTCAAAGAGCCCAGTTTGTCGAAGCACGTCTGGGCACGTCGTACACATCTGTACCAACAGCAAGATGGTGCTGTGGAATTCACATGCCCTGTATTCTTCCATCGCTGAGCCACTTGTTGGCTAGGCCAGCGAGGGTCTACAAGTGAAAGCTGAACATCTCCTTCTACGCCTTCAACTCAAGTACTTGGCTGACTCAGTTGTGGGGTCGTACACGCAACGAAGAGGGTTTTTCCAAGGCCCTGTCCCGTATGGATGATGTGCCACCTCGATCATTCGGTCGTGAATAGCGATGTAGATCCAATCCTGGAATGTGCCAGTTATCGGAGGCATGCACTAGCTTTCAGTGGGTTTTTGCTGACAGCACCACCATTCCAGGTATCTCGCTTCTTTCGTCGCTTTGGCAGCTCCAATCCAACACACGTGGAGCTTTTCATTACTCAACATTCTAAACGATGTTCAGCTACAATGTGTCTTTCATACGCAACAACGAGGAAAGATATTTTTTAAAGAAAAAAACAAGCAGCAAAGTAGGCCTGGCCCGCTCGCATGAACAATGAGCATGTAACGGCAGTTGCAGGTCCCACTGATTTGCTGTAAAAGGAATAAGCTTTCGCTTGGCATCGTAGGTGTGAGAACTGCCGTGACTGAGGCACTCGACCACAACAGAAGGGAAGAAGCAGCAAAGCAGCCGCTGGACCTGCCGCCATCACAAACTCACACTTACTCTACCGCCTGGGTCTCATGGTCAAGTTGACGGTGCTCGTCTGTGAACATCGAAGCAAGTGTGAGCATGCCAACATACTTTTTCATCCTGAAGCGCAGCTGCTGATGGCAAACCAAAGCCTTGTTCCTTCCTTGTGGCCACTACCAGATGCAACCAACCCAACAAGGCCGCCACCACATGGGTGCCATTTGGATCCATGCCTCACTCAACTCAATTGGGCATGGTGCATGAAGTGAAGCCGCAGTTTACTACAATCTCACTTTCCTGGAACAAGAAAGTGTACACGTAAACAGCATCAGCAACCCGCACAAACCAAGCAGTCCTGGATTCAAAGATTTGCACGGAAGGCTTCTGAGCAGTCAGCTGAGCTCGATGACGCGGCTCTTGATAGCATTCCTGTAAGCCACTGGCAAGCTTTTTGGGTCTGCACAGCAAACGATTAGGACTCTGTGGTCTGAAACAAACTCAAGTGATCACAAGTTTGCTGAGGCAAGAACATCAATTGCTGCTGTTCCTCCTCCAGCTGGAGCAGGCCAATGAGTGCCTCGTCGCTGGTATTTGACAAGCATCCTTCCAAAGCAAGCTTCAATGAGGCCAGCATGTCAGTGCTTCTTGTAAGCCTAAATCATGCAATACGAAACCCTGCTTGCAAAAGTCACGGTTGGCTCTTTGCCCACTGCTCCACGTCCCATTGTTTCTCATGCAAAGGTGCTGCGCTGCTGCAGCCGGGGCCTGCAAAGCATGAGTCCCACGTTTGTCGCAGGCAATGCCGGCAACTTGCGGCGAGAGCTTCTCAAGGATTCGCTTCCTCTGCCTGCCAGTACAGCTGGGACCATGAAATCTCAGTGTAGCAATAGTTCGCCATCAATGGCAGCGCAAGAAGTGCTCTGTCGCATTGCGCAGCCAAGCGAGCTGTTAGAAGAAGGTGCCCGCGGGCAGGTATTGCCACAACACTACCTCAGCTCTTCTCAGCTCTGGCCTTGGAGAGCATGCTTGAAACGCAGCACCTCAAGAATGTGCCGCAATCTTCAGATCCTACCAACAACCAAGTTCCATGATGGAACGCTTTTGTACACTGAAGTGACTCAGCCTGAAGTGATGTGCTTAAGGACAAGGCTGCAAAGATAATTGCCATAGGAGTCGCACATCATACCTGCAATCTCATCCTCGACCTGGTGCAGTTTGCTGAAGACGGAACTTGGCTTCTGGATTCAGTGTATGTGAAGTTTCAAAACCTGCATGCGTCTCTGGTGCTACATGTCACACTGAGGGTCATCTTTACATGCTCTGCGTGTTCTCTTCACTCTCGCAAAGGCGCAAACTTCTGCGAGGATGACGTCCATGATTGGGCCTGCGACTTGTCTTCTGTCATATTAGAATATGCTCTACATGGATTCGTTGGTCAGCTCCAAGGTCCGATGAAAGAAAGCCATCTTCATGAACCGCATGGAACTGGGTTTTGTCTGCCAGCGCGAAAACAAGGTATGGAATGCTCCAGAGGACTTGCATCAGCAAGTCAAACGACGTTTCTTGTAGCCTCTGTGAAATTCATGAAATCTGCTTGGATGGTGGAGCGGGCTTCACTACAGAACGAGGCCAGAGGTAAACAGTGCTTTATGATTTTCCCGTGGCCGTACAACCCTTGTAAGAAGCCGCAAGCAAAGCTATGAATTGCAGACAGGCTGAGTGTTGATCACATATCAGCTTGCCGTCAAGTGTTCTAGTATTGACTTGGGAGCCAACTGCAACTCAGACGACCAGGTGGGGACAAAGTGATATTTGGAAAAATCTTTCGAGCTTTTTGATCCCTATCATTTTGCAGATTCCGACTTCGTTTCTGTTCATGCCTCTCCCCGGAGGATCCCTCACAGTCCCAGGATACACGGTGTTCTGCTGATGCTGCAGTGGCTATGATGCAGGCCGAGTATAGCAACGGCTTCATTCTTGAGGCTAGCAGCACCCAAAGGAAAATGAAAATACCCTCTATAATCTGTGTCCTGTGCACAGATCAATGAAGGCAAAGAAAGGACGACAAAAGCAGAGATTTTGATACCACACGGCCTGCCAGAACTACCCACATGAGGACAGACAAGAGGTGACTCGGAACTCAGACCATTCTGAGGATAAGCAAAAGGGACCAAGCACTTCTCTAGAACGGCAAGTAGGCTTGTCCGTCCTATCACGTCTTTAGCAAGCTGAACTCATTGCGTGAGGCACTTGGCATTCTGAAGCGCCGGGATCTGTGGAATTGATTCCTTGGTGGTTTGAGCGCCTGACACTTCGCAGGTTTGGAGTTTTGATGAGAAAAAAAAACAGATTTTTTTTTTCAGAATGTTTGCAGCTGTCAGATTTTTGCCTGCGGCTGTTGCCCGTTTTGGCCCGATGGCGCATCGACGGCAAAATCCACAGCAAAGACGTCTAGCAAGTAGTGAGCAGGTGGGGACCATGTGTGTTCGTTGGGATACCAACCAAGAAGGAGGGCCTACCACGAAGATATATATAAGCGTCCTTGTTGGGCTACAAAAGGAGAAGCCAATGTGTTTTGAAATCTCGCGAATCAATGCTTCCAACATGTTTCCTCAGACTTGAGTTTCCCTCACAAACCACGTGGTGCCAGGATTGTTGAAGGTTCGAGGATGTGCGTATGACAAGGTACTGAAGGGATGCGGCCGCAATAACACAACTCATTCCACCCAAAAAAGCCTTTCCGCCCAATATTTGTAACATCTGTGAGCATTCGACAACCCCTGAAAAGGCAAGAAAAAAGGCTCGGTCAACTTTGGTCCAAAGCGGTGCTGTAACTTCCAAGCGTTGTCCCAACACGCTTAGCGGACACAGCTCCAGTTGAACACGGACATGGGGGGTATGGCTGAGATGTGCTATTGGCGGATGAGGATCCGTGGTCTGCCGCTGGTGCATGTGTGCTTGTGCACCGCCTAGGTAAAATGCCCTTTCCTAAGCTTGTGCCTTTAGCTTGGTGATGCTGGGTGAGGGATCAAAGGGGGAAGAGCTTCAGGTTCTGTGACCAAGTGGGCTTCTGCGTGCCGCAGCTCGGTAGCTTAGATCCAGGGCCCAGCATGTTGAACTCTTGCCAAAGCCGTGATGACACTGAGATGGCGGTAAGGGACCATGTGGTTAGGCTGGGTGCACCCGAGCCGACCCACTCGAAACTCGGATACGGGAGTGCCGCTGCTTGGACCTTGAATAACACCCTGAGCTCAACAAACAAGCTACTTACTAAGATGAGGCCACACATGGCGCGAAACTAATGTCCTTGGAGGCTAGGGCGGCTAGGCCTCCTGCCGACCTGCTTCAGAAAAATCCAAAACAATCCCAAGGGATGTATTCCGCCTCCGAAATGTGTTCAAGTACTTCCGGAAACTTTTAGATACATTTTGCAAGCAGAGATTGTCTGTGGCAGACTGAGTGCTGTCAAAATCCTGGCATTCAAGCGACCCACCTACATGCTGGTACAAGGACAGCGCAGCTTATCTGATGCACCGCACTTTGACAATGCCACAGCGATATCCATATTCCCTCAAGAATCCATGAAATTGATTCTAGACCAGTCCAAAGCGTCCAACTCTCCACATATTGCTGCAAGGCCACCTGGACCCTTTTGGAGCTGCCGCTGTAGGTACTTGCCTGCGTGAGAAAATGCATACCGTCCCATTGATTCATATTTATTCCAAGCTGCAATGACTGACTTGTAGCGGAATACATTGTAGTATGGATCCTTCAATCCATCCTTAATGTATCGTGCTTGCTTGAAACTCATACTGTACCGGTCTGAATTTCGTCATGTCTGCAACGTTCTCAGCTAAATCCCTTGCAGCTGGGCTCACAGCTTCCGGCTTGACTTCGAGAAAGCTGACCAACCTGCACAACATGGACCGATGGACAAGCCAAGCCGACCAGCTACCTGATCCAAACTCATCCACTCACCGAATCCACAAAAAACGAATTACAAGTTTTACATCTCCGTAATGTAGTCATCTAGGTATGCATGCGCGGCCACAACCAAAATGAACTGCACCTGGCCCACCAGCTCTGCAGCTTCAGCTGGAAGCTCCGTTGACTCGCATCTGCCACTAGACAGCACACTCTCTCGGTGGCAAACAAGGCTCTGTGCCGCAACTTCTCGACTACAGGGCGTGCTGCATGCTTCCAAAGGCTTGTGTCGAGGGATGCTAGGACCTGTTGGATATGATGGCAGCATGCCTGGCTCGTGCAGCTCCATTGACAGCACGACCTTTGCCACCCTGGCACAAGATAATCTGAGAACACAGTTAGCCATTTGCAAGCTGCAGAAAAGGGCCCTTCACACGATGAAGGGTGTCCATTGACTCGCGGCTCTCTCTAAGCGCAGCCTTGCCATTCACAGCCGGGGCATCGACCTTGCTCAAGAATTGGTTTCAGCATAGGTTCAAAATGAAAGCTCTTGACGCTGGCAATCTATGTCACAGAACGCCTCGCTGCGCCCTCGTCCTTTGCGCGTCTCCGCAGTGCTATGCCACTCCTGCGCGCACGTGAACCTGAGGAAGGCATTTGAGCGCAACTGTTCAGTCCTCTGTCGCTTTTCCATTGGGCACCGGATTTTGCACGTTGCTCCTTGCACTGAGTGACAGCTCTGGATCACACTTGCACGAAGTAATCATGCTGGCTATGCTTTACAACTCTTATATTTGCAGCTGATACGGAAGGAACAGCTTCAACCCTGGTGGGTCTCTGGCCTATGCATGCTCTTGGTTCACCCGGCGAGCCAAGATTGACGTCAGACCAGGCAGTGTTGCAGCGTTTTCTTTCCAGCAAACTTGTCTGAACTCTCACTCGATGGGATTCAGAACCAACTATTGTCACTCTACATGTAAATGAAGCTAAGTCTGGCTGAGATGGCAGCTGACACTACTTGAGCACTGCAACTGAAACTGATGACTGTGCGTCCTGGGAGCCGAAGGACATGGATAGACAGGCCTTAGCTGCAGCATGCACATGCCAATTGCCAGGCCAAGCAAAAAGCAGGTCAACATGAACTGCCTCCTAGCACATTGATCAACTCCTGAGCGTGCCTTTTCAAGACCGATTCGAAGTTGCACGAATGCCATCTAAATATGAATTTTCATGCTGTGTCCCGCGCCCTGGAGTAAGGGCCGCTCCTTCAAACCATGCATTCAACAGAACTTGCACAAAGACGAATCCTTACTCACGACCCGTTAAGCTATGTAATGAAATGGTTGAGCCATGCTCACATGTTGCTGGCCTCCTCCATTGTCCTTCGTAAAAACTGGTGCCGCACCCACCTTGCCCATTTCTCAAAGATTGCTACAGTCACTGAGTGCGCTACCGGCAAGTCAGTACACTACCTTTCTGCTTATGATTTCTGCCAAGTAAAGAATGTTTCTACGGACAAACGCAACCTCCTTACTGGTCCAAGAGCTGCACCTTTGGCTGGCCGTTTTGGTGCAATTGCGCCTGGATGGGGTCCTGCGTGACCGCTTAGAAATGCACAGATATGAGCATGGCTCGCAGAATGGAAATCAAATCCACGTTCTTGATGGACCTTAGGTTGCCTCACATGATGGCAACCATCTTTCATCGCAGAATACGTGCCCCAAATGGATTTTCAAATTGGCAGCACCCTCTCTCTCAATTGCACAGCAGAGCAGTCCATGCAGGCATGACCTTGGCAACAAAAATTGTCGACAACTTCGAGAAGCGTATAACACCACTCAGCACTGGAAGCTCCAGGTACCGTGCATGCAGGGAGCCGCCAGCCAGCGCTCTGCAAGCCTGATCAAAGACCATGATCAAGGACCGTCTTTACAATTGGTAATCAGACAAGAGCCCAAACAGCTCAGCTAGTCGTCCTCCCAGTGCAGCTGCCGCAGCTGCTGCTCCCCAGTGATACGCCTGACTGAGCCGGGCCCAGTTCCAGCTGTTTGGCTTCATGTTCTAAACAAACGAGCAGCCACTTAGCTTTTGCGCCAGACACATCCAGCTCACAAGATTCTGCCAGAATTGTTTCAAGCCAGGCTCTTGTGAAGGAGCATGATGGCACCAAGTTTTTCAATAATGTGCATGAAGCCAAACCGTGAAATATCCTGCTGCACGTTGATACATGAAACACGGTGTACGGATGTTTTGAACCAGCCAAGCTGCCTGATATCCTGCAGCAGCTGCCATCTGGTGTGCTATTTGGTCCTGGCATCTAGCTGCACTTTTCCGGGACTCCCTGATGGTCATGTGACATGTGCGTCGGCTGCTGGCACCACTAAGTCAAGTAAAATATGTTTGGCACCCTATTTGCTGAACTGCTCGAATTCTGACTTCTACCTTTCTGGGG